CAGGCAGGGAGGGGAGCATGGCCGGGGGCGGGGGAAAGGGAGGAGGCGCAGCCTTTGTCACTTCCCCTCAGCAGAACCGGCCTCCTACTGTGAGCTGCCAGCACTTGCCTCCCTGGTGCCCGGAGGCGATTACACAGTGTTGCTGGGACACGTCCAGCCAAGAATGGCCTGGGTTTGTCTGGAGGAGCCTGAATCTTAATATTGATACAAGGAGAGAGTCAAAGGAACTCATGTGACTGGGCTGGAGGGGATGGGTGGCATAAGAAAACTGGGGGGAGGGAACTCCTAGGGGACATGGGAGTGCTGGGTTTGAATTTTACCAGAGGATAAGTGGAATTGACGTTGGTGGCTCTCTCTTTCTGGTAGTGCCCAATGCAAAACCAGCACATGCCTTGAGGTGACTGATATTCAGGACTAGAGTATCTGAGGGTTTTGCAGCTGAGGGGCACTGGCAGAGCTGTGTGTGGGGAGCCCAGGGCTGGGATAGTGGGGGGGCTGCAGGGCAGGGGGAAGGGCACTGGTAGAGCTGTGTGTGGGGAGCCCAGGGCTGGGATAGTGGGGGGGCTGCAGGGCAGGGGGAAGGGCACTGGTAGAGCTGTGTGTGGGGAGCCCAGGGCTGGGATAGCAGGGGGCTACAGGGCAGGGGGAGGGGCACAGGCAGAGCTGTGTGTGGGGAGCCCAGGGATAGCAGGGAACTGTGGATCAGGAGTGAGGGACATAAGCAGAGCTGCATGAAGAAGGTTGGCTCTGCTTGGCACTGGCTGTTGCTGTTAGTCTCTCACTTTCCTAAGCTCTAACTACTCTTCCATCATAAAAATGCACAAGTCGAAGGAATGTGTCTAAACTGAGGCTCCCTCACCAACACCCCCCAGAGACACCGAGGCTGTGTCTAGGCTGTGTCAGCCGCTTTTCCGGAAAAACTTGCCAGCTGTCTACTCTGGCCGCTTGAATTTCTGCAAAAGCACTGACTTCCTACTGTAAGAAATCAGTGCTTCTTGTGGAAATACTATTCTGCTTCCATTCAGGCAAAAGTCCCTTTTGCGCAAAGCTTTTGCACAAAAGGGCCAGTGTAGACAGCTCAGATTTGTTTTGTGCAAAAAAGCCCCGATCGCGAAAATGGCGATCGGGGCTTTTTTGCGCAAAAGCGTGTCTAGATTGGCCACGGACGCTTTTCCGCAAAAAGTGCTTTTGTGGAAAAGCGTCTGTGCCAATCTAGATGCTCTGTTCCGAAAATGCTTTTAACTGAAAACTTTTCCACTAAAAGCATTTGCGGAAAATCATGCCAGTCTAGATGCAGCCCGATTGTTTAATCAGAGTGTGGGGTACAGTGATCACTGAGTTCTGTGACACACACGGGAGCTGCTCTGATCCGTCTTTGCAAAATATCCCATCCCACACGTCTTCTGTCCCACCCACACTCATGGGGGACTTGACTGGATTAGGAGGACCACTGAGCAGGGGATGGGGAGTAAGTCCAGTACCACTGGGAGTTCTGGCCTGAGGCTTGTGACTCTCGCATGCCTCCAAATATGTATTTCAGTATGAACTGCTTGGGCACTTCACTGCATAAAACAGCTCAGCCAGAGGCCACCAGAGTCCGTTGCAGCAGGGGTAGCTCCAGTTTCTCTCTCCCCACTGAGTGGGATCTGAACCCAGGGGCCAGTCCAGAGGAGTGGGGAGATGGGAATCCAGAGCAGGTTCTTGGGTTCCTCATGTTGCTCTGCTGACCGAGCCTCAAGCATCAGCATCTGATCTTCATGCATCCACCTGCCCTGGAGCCTGCCAGGGAGCTCCCAGCGGAGACCTGAGCTGGGCAGCTGAGGCGGGCTCCCTTTGATGCTGCAGCCCTGGGCAGCGCTGGGCTCTCCAGCTGCTGCCTGGGCTCCCTGCTGGTCTCTCTCATTTCAGATCCTGAGGTGCTGGAGGAGCTGCTGACCTATGATGACCTTTTCCTGGACTATTTCAATGCCTTCCTGGCTCTGCCTGTGAGTCCGGCTCCTCCCGCCACCTACTTTTACTGCCGGGGGTCTGGCTTCACCCACATCAGGGGAGGATTTCCCCCTCCCATGTCCCTGTGTGACTGCAGCTGTTATCAGGGGCCACTTCCTGCTTGACACCAGTGCTGAGAGTCAAGAGCCTGGCCACTAGCCAGAGAAGTGCCTGGGCAGCTTTAATCCGAAGGAACCCTTCTCGGTCACTCCTAGCGACTGGGTGTGGTAGGGGGGCAGGGGCCTGAGGGGGACCAGGTAAGGGGCACTAGTATGGCACCTTCAGAGGATTGCCAGTGGGTGGGAGGACAGGCCGTGGCTTGGAGTGAGCCCTAACCTGGGAGCCTCCCTGTCGCTGGCAGAAACTCTTCCTCGGCGCCCGATCAGTGCTCATCTTCATGGAAGGTTCTGATGAGCACGTGCAACCGCCTGGAAACTGGGCTAAAGCTCTAACATCACACAGAGCCTATTACAGTTACTACTGAGCTGGCCCCAAGACTCAGTTCTGTGGCAGCTTCTTTTCTTACAGCAGGGGTGGGGAACTTTTTTTGGGATGGGGGCCACTGACCCACAGAAAATTCAGTCGGGGGCCGCGCACAAGTGAGAAGTTCCTGACGGAGAAGGAAAAAGACACTTCCCACATTCCCCTCCCACACTGGAGCCTAGGGGGGGCCAAGCCTAGTAGGGGCACTGGCAGAGCTGTGTGTGGGGAGCCCAGGGCTGGGATAGCAGGGGGCTGCAGGGCAGGGGGAGGGGCACTGGCAGAGCTGTGTGTGGGGAGCCCAGGGCTGGGATAGCAGGGGGCTGCAGGGCAGGGGGAGGGGCACTGGCAGAGCTGTGTGTGGGGAGCCCAGGGCTGGGATAGCAGGGGGCTGCAGGGCAGGGGGAGGGGCACTGGCAGAGCTGTGTGTGGGGAGCCCAGGGCTGGGATAGCAGGGGGCTGCAGGGCAGGGGGAGGGGCACTGGCAGAGCTGTGTGTGGGGAGCCCAGGGCTGGGATAGCAGGGGGCTGCAGGGCAGGGGGAGGGGCACTGGCAGAGCTGTGTGTGGGGAGCCCAGGGCTGGGATAGCAGGGGGCTGCAGGGCAGGGGGAGGGGCACTGGCAGAGCTGTGTGTGGGGAGCCCAGGGCTGGGATAGCAGGGGGCTGCAGGGCAGGGGGAGGGGCACTGGCAGAGCTGTGTGTGGGGAGCCCAGGGCTGGGATAGCAGGGGGCTGCAGGGCAGGGGGAGGGGCACTGGCAGAGCTGTGTGTGGGGAGCCCAGGGCTGGGATAGCGGGGGCAGCAGGGCTGGGGGAAGTGGGAGTAGGCGTCTCTGCTTCGCAGCACTAAGCCTGCCGCCCCTGCCCCCAGTTTGGTTCATCCAGTGTAGCCCAATGAAACGCAAACAGCGGACCCCTGGCGATGGGGATCTCTGTGGCCTGTTAGTCCCCAGCGCTGTGCCACTGTGTCTGTCTCCAGGCTGATGGGAGGCTTTGCCATTGGTCTAGACCTTTCCTCTGCGACTGAGCTACAGCCGGCTCAGGGGGCAGCTGCAGGAGCTGGATGGCTTCCTGCGGGAGTCTCCCTGCCAGCGGGGAGTGCAGCCAAGCTGGCCTGGCTACGGAGCCACGGATGAAGAGCGAGAGAGGATCCTGGGCTGGCTGAGGAGTGAGCGCTTGCCCCCTTTTCAGAGGTGAGTGTGGATGGGTGTTCCCGCTGCTGCCCTCTGCCGGGTGCGATCAGAACTACTCTCCTGTGTGTCATGGGGCCCCATAGTGCTCAGTCCTAACAGAGACATTCCTGTAGCTATGGGCGGGGGCTCCTGCTTTGGGAACAAAGGGAGCGAGTTCCCCCCTGCTGCTGCTTGGAAATCTCGTGTCACTGGGTGAGTGGCAGGCAGCTGGCTTGGAACATGCCAGAGCAGCAAGGGAGGATGATGTGGACTTGGGGAGATTGTGGAACAGTGTGGGGCTGGGGTGGCAGTGCTGCGTGTGGGGCAGGGAGAAGTAACAGGAGTGACACATACGGGGGGGAAATCAGAGAATGAAATGGGAACTACAGCACTCCTCAGTGAGGGTGCAGCTGGCCCTGCATGGGGAGGTATGATCTCAAAAGGGAATCTGCTACGAAATGTTTACTTAATGAATTGACATTGGCTGAGCTGGTGCAGGGCAGATGGTGATGTCCTGATGAGAGCCTTCCCCCTGACCTGCAGCCAACTGCTATCCCAGCCTTGGGCTCCCTGCCCCAGCAGAATCTCTGGACTTGTTTTGTTCCTTTACAGTGGTGAGTTTGGTGGTTGTGTGTCCTACATGTGGCATGGGACCATCACTCAGTCCCTGCTTATTGGCTGTCCTTGATGGCAGTGTCACTGTCTGTTTTGTGCTAGGACGGCCCTTTATCTGGAGTTCAAGTTGGCAAAGTTGCTGATTCGTCCACTGGATGAAGGCTGTCCAGTGAGCCGGCATGAGATTCGTGGGTACAGTCGTCAGTCGGACAGCACCGCAGTCTCCAGCATTCCCAGTCACCCATCAACAGCAGGGCTGCCCTTGGGGCTCCCCAGCCTCAGGCTGTGGAGGCCTCCGCTAGGACGGCCCTTTATCTGGAGTTCAAGTTGGCAAAGTTGCTGATTCGTCCACTGGATGAAGGCTGTCCAGTGAGCCGGCATGAGATTCGTGGGTACAGTCGTCAGTCGGACAGCACCGCAGTCTCCAGCATTCCCAGTCACCCATCAACAGCAGGGCTGCCCTTGGGGCTCCCCAGCCTCAGGCTGTGGAGGCCTCCTACAAGGGAGTAAAGAAAAGGCAAAAAGGGTATGTCTACTCTGCAGTCAAAGACCCACAGCTGGCTGCCCGGGTCAGTGGGCTCAGGCAGCAGGACTGCACCATTGCAGTGCAAACATCTGGACTCAGGCTGGATCTTGGTTTCTGAGTCCCCATGATTGGGGGGGGGGTCTTAGAGCCCAGACTCCTTCCTACACCCAAATACCCACACTGCTATTATTAGCTCTGTGAGCCAGTGTCAGCTGAGCTGGGCTCTGAGACTCAGTGCCGTGGGTTTGTATCACAGTGCAGACATACCTGAAAAGCCACCCAGCCTGGTCCCTGCCTTCACTGGCCAGGAATGGCTCCACCTACCTGCTGCTCTCCCCAGGCTGGCCGACACCCAGGGCACCACTGAGACTCAGAGTCAAGGGACCGTGATTAAACCCCACAATCCTATCTAGGGTCCTTTTTAACATTGCTCAGGAGACTAGCCTAGGGCAGGCCTGCCCCACAGAACGGCAAGCAAGGCCTCCTACATGGGACAGAAGGGTAAGCATGCCCTGCCCCCACCAGCTCTGTGCCCTGCACAGTTACCCTCCTTGTTCACCGCTTCAGGGCAGCTGATCTCACAGAACTTATCTGCCTTTCTCTCTTCCTCCCACACACCCTCTGGTCACACGCCACCCACCTCCTCTCTGTTCCTCAGCGCAGCCTGGCCACTCTCCATGCGAGAGCCTCCTCCTCTGCAGCACGGGCTGCCCCGTCGGTTCATCCTCTCCTCTGACAGCATCGTTCAGCTGCCCTGTTCTGTTATTGCTCCCTTGGGTTGTCCCACAAGGAAGGGCTGCTGGGAAGCCGAAGGTCTCACTATGTCAGGCAGGATTTCTGAGAGCACTGGTGCCTGTCAAAGGAGCCACTATGGTATCTGGGCTCCTGCAGGGTTAGGAATCCAGGCTGCTCACTGTCTGACCAACCCATTGTGCTTGTCCATTGCTCCCAGATCCCTCCCTGCACTAGCTTGGAAACTTCCATCACAAATAGCGGCTTGTCTTTGGGCATTTCTCCGCTGACCCTTCTGTCCTCTTGCAGGCTGCTCCTCCAGCATCCCTGACCAGTCACCCTGGCGGAGCTCCGTGGAGTTCCCAGGTGCCCTCAGTTTGGGGCAATCTCCCTTTGCAGAAGGGCTAAGCAGGCAGCAGCTTCGAAGCCTCCTGCCCGACTCTGGCACAGGAGTGACCAACAGTGAGACTACCACGACTTGGAGATGGGTGGACGGAGGTTCTGCCAGATGCACCCTGCCCTATTGATTTTGGCTGAAAGCCTCTTTGAGTGCTGGGCTTCTGGTTTGTCTGTTACTCCCACTGAGAGTGGCCCATATCCAGTGCTCCACCCAATCACAGGTGGAAAGGCACCTGCTCTTTGCTCTCAGACACATTTACACATTGCCTGTTAGAGGACAAGTCTGCTGCCATCTCCTCCCTCCTGGGCTCTGAGCTCCTCAGTGCTCGCATGGGAGACACTCAAGGGAAATGCAGGTGCTTCAGTCAGAGTGCTCTTCTCTGCCAGGCAGCGCTGACCCCAGTGTGCTGCTAGGAGGGGCCAGGCTTTCAGATAAGATGTAGTCAGCAATGAACTCAGGCAATTTTTAGTGGGTGTCTGGGTATTAGCTTTGGTGTCTGGATCACATTGCAATAGGGTCAGTTAAGTTCTAGCTCCCTATGTGCCCCTTGCAGTTTCATTTGGGGACCATCTTGGGGGCACTTTTGGTCCTAAACCGCTATGTTAAGTGGCTGCTCCATCCTAGAAATGGCAGCATTTCTGTGGCAAGTAAAGGGGTTGGAAGCTGGTGACCCAGGCAGTTTTCCAGAGCAAATAACAGCTGAGTTCCCTTGCTCCCTCAGGCCCAGAGGGGATTCCACAGCTCTTAGTTTCCTGAGTGGGAGCTGGGATCCCAGACAGGTTCAGCCCCAACTGCTGCATTGGGCCACTGTGGGCATTGGACAGTAGCTCGCCATGGAGGCACTTTGGCCCAGCCACCTCAGGGCTGCTGAGAGAGCTAGATGCATGGACTCATTTGTGACAAGCCTCTGGTGTCATGGTTACAGAAGGAAGTGTGGATGACCGGATTGATGCTGTTGGGCCTGAGAGATCCCTTGCTGGCCTGACCAGAGGCGCTGCTAGCTCTTCACCCGCCGCAGGGCACACGGAGTACCTCCTGGGCAGGCAAGGCTATGAAGGGTTAACTCCCCTCTCTGCACTGGGGAGGAGGAGCAGAGAATGTGCAGCAACCATGCTGAATTAGCAGCCCTGTCAACTGCACAGTCGGACCAGGCTTGGGAATGGGCTGAAGGGAGAGTAAGTGGTGGGCTGGCCCAGCCCCGACTGCCCCTTCCTGAGGCTGAGGTGAGGTGAGCGCTCCTCTGGGGGGCACACGACAATATCTTGTACTTGTCTAGCACCTTTCCTCCCAGCGCCTCAAAGTACAGATGGGGAAACGGAGGACGAGGAAGGTTATAATCCTCCCAAGGTGGCAGAGCGTGTCTTGGGCAGGGCCTGGCCTGGCCCCCTGGTTCCCAGTGTTAAGCTTTAACATTACACAGGCTGCCTTCCCAGCCGCTGCTGCCTTGTGCCTGGGTGCTCTTGGGTCGTTAACGCCCTGATGGGGCGCTGTGTCATCCGCGCTTCAGCAGCCAGAGAGGCACCAGGAGGAGCGCGCAGAGGCGGCCTGTAGCCTGGTGCTGTGGGGGCAGCCGGCTCTGCCTGCTGAGTGATTTATGTCTGATGGGGTGAGGGGGAGTTGAGAGAGGCTCCATGCCGCATCCTGTGTGCTCTTGTGAAACCCTGAGGGAGGGAGCTCAGCGGGGAGTGGGGGGGATGGGAGGACTGGCTTAGGCGGGAGGGGACTCTCTCCCTGTCTCTCCCTCAGCATGATGCCCTGTAGCAACCTAATGCTGGTTGCAGGACAGGGCTGCAGCATGCTCTGGGTCTGATCCTGCCGCCCAGGCTCTGGCCTGTCATAGTGTTACTGGCGGCTGTCATTTGGGAGCCCTCTGTCACACTCTGCCTTGGGAGAGCTGGGTAAGGTGACCGGATGCCCTCATTTTAGAGGGACAGTCCCATTATTCAGGGCTTTGTTTTACACAGGCACCTGTTCCCCACCCCCATCCTGACATTTCACACTTGCTGTCTGGTGTTACATTGTTTTGCTCTTGGGGATCCCCCCAATCTGCAGGCTGTGGGGGGAGAGGGCAGCCCCAACACGGGGCCCAGAGGGTGGGTGGCTTTCTTCCCTGCACTTCCCTGGCCCAGTTTGAGACTAAGCTTGAGCTGCCTTTCTCTTAGCTCAGTTACAAGAGCCAGGGAGTTGCATGTGTCCCTGGGGGAGGCACTGTGCTCTGCCTGTGGGGGAGTTGTGCATGTTGAGGTGTGGGCTGCCTTGGAGGTGCCAGAGGGGGGTGTAAGGCGCCTGTGACTGTGCAGGGGTGTTGCGTGTTGTGGCTGGAATGTGCCTATCACTCTATTGTTGACCCCTTGTGCCTTTTGTGTCCTCTCTGCTATCATTGTTCCCACTGGGTGCGCTGACCCACTCACCCCCCAGCTAGCACCCAAAGAGCATTGCCCTCTCTGGCAGGGCGGGGGCTCAAAGGGTGCAATGAATGAGTGGGAGGAGGAGGTAGGGTGGATGCTGGGGGGATGTGCAGGGTAACTCCACTGGAGCCCTGCACACAGGTATCCCTGTGAGTTGCGCAGGCTCTGCACTCGGACACATTGCCTGCCCAGTGCCAGAGCAGCCCCTCTCCCTTCTCTCCCGGCAGGTGCCGAGGGGAGCTGGTCTCTAGCACCAAGAAGATGCAGCAGTTTGACCTAGATGAATCTAGCGCCTCTGAGGGAGGAGGAGGAGGGGAGGAGGAATCCTGGCTGCTCCCTGGCTTTGGCAGCTCTGCTCTGCAGCAGCGGAAGGAGGAAGTACTGGGGACGGTGAGTTTGTTGGACTTGCTAGAAGGATGGGGCTGAAGTGCATGTTAATAGGATGAAGAAATTAGCTTGGCCAGCTGCCAGACTCCCTCCCCTTCTGCTGTGCCAAGTGCCAACCCGGGAGGCCCCCCCCCACACACACTTCTGTCTCCCAAACCTCTCTCCTCTTGATGGTCCTGCAGCACTGGTGTCCTTGTTCTGCGGTTGTAGGAGCAGGCATAGGGCCCCAGGGTAATGCAGCCAGCTGGAGACAATGGAGTGCTGGGTCCAGCGCTGAAACCTTACAGCCCCCGCTGGGCAGGCACGTCTGGGAGAACTGAGCTGGGACCCACCACAGCAGCCAATGAGTCTGCTCGCTTATCCCAGTGGGGAGTGAATGCCTGGCAGACTAGCCATCGGGTCGCTAGGATCCTGGGCAGGGTTGCAGCTGAGGGGCTGGGGGCCACTCTGTGGGAGATGGGAGGGTCTCAGCTGCAATGGCACCTAGGCTGAGCACTGTGGTCTGGAAAGGAGCCCTGAATGCCCCTTCTAAGTTAGACTGGTAGAGCAATCCCAGGTGGGGTCAGACTCCATCGCAGGGGGAAGTGGGTCCCCTCCCTGCTCGGTTCCGGGGCTGAGCGCCAGTCCTGGAGTTTTGCTTTCCCCACCCACAGAGAACCCAACCTCCCTTCGTGCCCCCCACCTGTTTGTGTTGCAGAGGGCTGGCATGGATGACTTCAAGGAGTTTCTCCATGGCACGCTGGGGATCCACCTCTTTCACTTCTGGATGGACTGTGAGACTGTCCTGGAGCACACACAGTGCTTGCAAGCTGGTGCTGCCCAGCGGGAGGCCCAGCTCCTCTGTGCCAGCCTCTGCCGGTAGGCTTGGCCATCCCAGCGAGCCCCCTCAGTCACGCACCGGGGAGGGGGTGAGAAGCAGTGGCTCTGTCTGCTCCTGTACCCATCCCCTTGTTTGCACGCAAGGGGGCTTAACTCTGCTGCCTGGCCCAGATCAGCTGGTGGCTCGCACCCTCGCTGCCCACAGTTCTGGATCTGCTCCCCCTCCAGTGCAGGAAGAGTGTGCTGTGTTTCTAGCAGCCAGGGGTGTCACTCAGACTGTGGTATAGAGCGACTGGAGAATCCCGGCTCCAGATGCCCCGTGGTGAACCCCCAGATCTCCCACCTGTGTCCCTGCAAGGAGCAGGGGAGGGCCCTAAGAATCTCGGCCATACAAACTCATACTGGGGACTGCAATGACAGCATCCTCCTGAGGCCCAGCAGAGGGCAGCCCTAGGCAGAGTATCCAGGCCCACTTACAGGAGCCAGTGGGGCCTCTGGGGTTCAGGGAGGTGTGAGGGAAGAGCAGCCAAAAGGGGTCTGCTCTGCCTGGCAGAGGGCTCTGCATGTTTGCAGACCTACAGCTACTGAGCATGCACTTAGTAAGACAGGGCAACAGGAGACTAGGACGCTGCCCAGGGTTTGATCCCCTCTGGGCGGAGGTGCTTGGAGCTAGCTGGCTTGTCCAATTCTCAGCTGCAAGTTGCGATCAATATGCTTAGCAAGTACTCTGCAGGTCCTGGCTGCTCGAGTGTTGAGGCCTTGGTTGTGTGAAGCCCAGGGCCTGAGCTGCCTCAGCCTTTATTGGAGCCATCGCTCTTTTCTTTGCAGGAACCTTCAGGACAAATACAAGTTGAGCCTGTCTCTGGCCTCCCAGGTGAGCGAAGCCGCTGGGGTGTGCGTGCAGGTCCTCTCACCTGCCCCTTGTAGCCTTAGCAGACCTGAGAGCAACATTTGCTCTCAGCAGGTCTGTGAATCTCACACCTCAGCAGCTAGGAAGTGAGAGAGCAGAGCTGTGGGAAGTGCTCAGTGTGTGTGGGTGCCGCCTCCTCCGCCACCAGGAAACGGCCTGGGCTCATTAAACCGCCAGCTGCTAGTGCTTCTGTTCTGCCCCTGCCTTCCAGGGACACTGGGTCCTGCCACTGTCTGCTTCCAAGGGCGACTGCCCAGCAATGCTTCCTCTAACGTTTTCCATCCACGTGTGGAATAAATGATGTGCATTGAGGTGGGTATCAATGTGCACCCCCAGCAGAAACACAGACCTAGCTGTGGGCGCTCTGCTACTCAGCTGGGCAGTGCTGAAATGGCTCCTGCGCACCCAGCCTCCAGGGAACACTGCCACTGTGGGGCTTCACTCTGGCCTTCATGCAGCCGATAGTCTAGGTGCCGATCCCAGCCCTTCATCCTGGCTCCGCCTGCTGCATCATTTTCCCCAGGGCATCCCAGGGCCAATGGGCACGATTAGCGCGAGGCCATGACAGATCACCCAGGCCAGTGGGGGCCAGCCACAAAACAGTGTATGAGGGTAGCCAGCTGGGCAGGGCTTGGGAGGGACAGAAGGAGTCAGAGAGGAACAGTGCTGCCTTGAGCCAGACACAAGATCCCTCCTCCTGTCCCAGCCCTGCCCTTGCCCTTGACTGACAGCCTGAGGTACACCCTGCACGGAAGTTGCCAGCATGGCCCTGACTGTACCAAACTGATAGATACCAGTGGTCGGGTGGTGTGGGACACTGCTCCTGCACCCCTCCCTATCACAGCCCCTGCACAGCTATGCAGTGGGCCTCTGTCAGCTTCAAGGCAAGCTCAGCAAGATTTGTTGTGCTCACTGCTGCAGAGAAGAGACTATGAAACCAGCAGTCTCTAAGGTCCTGAGCCCTCGAGCCTGTGCTTTCTCCTGGCTGGTAAATGTTGTTAGCCACAAGTCCCACAAAGGGTTAATGGCACATGGGGGCTGGGTGACTTTTCCCTCTGATGGCTCTGCCCCAGCTTGGTGTAAGTGAGCCATGCCTGCTCCGTGTGGTGCAATAGAAGTGGCAAGGCCAGCTAGAGATGGATGGGCCTACTCCAGCCTTGGCTAAGATATGGCTTTTGGTGCAGGCAGTAGAGGCGCATGGCTTAAGCTCAGGAGACCCTAGGTTTGATCCCTGCTACCAACAACCCACCCAAGGGCATCACTGGGATCCCCGTGGAGTTGAGCTCAGGATCTCTTCCTTGGGGTCACAAAAGCACTAGGCTGAGGATCCTGGTATTAAAGCCCAGAACCAAGCCTGGTGGAGGAAACCAACCTTGAGACATGCTCAAGCAGAGACCCTCTGGGATATTCTGACTCCCGTAGCACCACATGGTGGGGGCAGCTGAGTCAGGTGATGGGGAAGGGTGGCGTGGCTGACGTGTGCTGTTCTCCTTTCTCTGCTGGAAGGAGCCAACGGGCGAGACTCGGGGCAGCATGGAGGCAACTGTTATTGTCTTCAGAAGGAGTCAGTACGATGCGCTGCGACGCCTCCGCGCCTACTGGGTTCCCAGGTTTCTCCTCCACCACCAGAGAACCAGACCCCTCAGGTTCGTGCAGTGGGAACCACTCTGGAGATGATACGCTATCAGGGAGGGAAAGCTCCTCCTTTGGTAGCTCTCAGGAGGCAGGGCCTTGGACTGGACAAGCCACAAGAGATCTTAGCAGCTTGCTGGAGTACTTCCCAGACTCCATAGCTTCTGCTGGCCTCCCCAGCTGCAGAGGGATCCAGTAGTAGGGGAGTGAGATCCAGTGGTTAGAGATGGAGATGGAGCATAGGTTCCTACAGGAGAACTGGGTTCTTTTCCCACCTTGTTAGTCCTGCCTCTCTCTCTGGCTCAGTTTCTCCCCTCTGAAAATGAGGAGACTGAAATGCTTGGAAGGGTGTGGTTATCTACTTGTTTTGACCCATGGTAGGGCTAGCCCCACCCCAGGCTCCTGGACCAAGCCAAGATCGCCTGTGAATGCCGACTTCCTGCCTTCACTCAAGGTGTCTGCATCACTTCCTGTTGTGGGTTATGGATGCACGAGCCACACGAATAGAAGCACAGACCGGTTCAGCGTACGTATCACCTGCACAGAGTAGAGTTTGGATAGTGTGCGTGTCTCCCTGCGTGTGCCTTCTCAACGTGGTGCAATCCAGCACTGGGGCGGGTTAACAGCATGCAGACTCAACACTATGCCAGCCAAAATTCAGGTGGCTCTGTAATGGCCTCCCAGGACAGACATCTGCCCAGGTGCAGATTTCACAGCTGATGGCAGGGACACACACACACAAAGGTATAGGAGGCAAAGGTGACACCAGCAGAATCATGGGCCCCCTCATTACTAGGCTAGTTGGGGGAAGCCGCTGGCGCTAGCCCGAGGGCCGTGGCCCATAAGTGTTTGTGTGATGGAGGAAAGGATGGCACGTAAGTCCCCTCTGCCCCAACTCACAGCCCATGGCTCTGAGACTGAAGGTTTGTCTACACTAGAGTGGAAGGTTTAATTTCCAGCCTGAATAGACATACCTGCACTGGTCAAACTCCTTATGGTGCACTAAAAATAGCAGTGTAGCCGTGGAGCCATGACTGGCAGCAGAGACTAGCCAGGCTGGATGTGAGGCTAGTCTCAGATGGATTATAGCTGGGGTGGCTAGTCCCTTCTGCTGGTTGTACCAGAGCAGCTACCTTCTGTTGCTAGAAGATGGAGCTAGCCTGGGGATACCTACTTGAGCTGGAAATGCCCAGCACCAGTGTAGTCAGCTCCTGAGAGGAGCTGCAGTGCTTGTAAATGGAGTGCATGGAAAGAGCGTGGGTGAGAAGGGCCATAGAAGAGAGACCAGTTTTGCTCCAGCCCAAGTGCTCTTCCCTGAGAACGTGAGTTGTCCTTCCGCACTGTTAGTAGCCAGCTGCCTGGATCACGAGCAGTAATATAGACGGGTTACTTTGCACAATTCCTCTTGCCTCATTGAAAATCTCTCTCTGGCTGTGGCAGTGAGGGTCAGACTGGATATAGCACTGAAACCCTCTTCTTGCCGTCCAGCCCATGCAGCTTCCGCACTCGGGTGCAAGCTGGCGAGGGAGGATTGCGTCAGCTCATCAGCCAGATCTCCCATGGAACCTCTGTGACACACCATTGACCTCCCACTTCCTCCAAGCACTAAGGTGTGATCGTGGGGCAGGGGGGAGCTTTCTCTACTACCTGACCAGGTGAGTCTCTCTCTCCTGTCCCTGTGGCTTTCTGCCACTTGAGTGAGCTGGGCAATTCCTGGGAATGTGGACTTTGCTGCTGCATTGTCTCCAGCTGTGACAGCACCTTGATATCTCACAGGCGAATATCAGGCTATGGTAGTTTTCTAAAGGGGCCACCATACAGCCTTGATCCCTGCTGGCCACTCCAGAGGAAACGTGATTCACTCTCTATTCACACTCCCCCCGGCTGATGCGTGTTCCTTCCCTGCTTACTCTCCAGGTTTGAGGATGCTCAGAAGGTCCACAACTACCAGCTATGGCAAGCTTTGGAGGAGCAGCAGGCCACTTGGCAGTGGCAGGCAGATAGGCTCCAGCCCCATCGCTCAGCCTGGCAGATCCTCCACGTGTACTTGGTGCATGGTGCGCCATGCGACGTCGGTGAGCCCCCACATAACTGGTTCTTTTGCAACAAATCCACTTGGCGCTGGGTTCAGCTGTGCCTGGGTGTACATGGGGATCCCGGGCTGAGTCCCAGACCTACACCAAGGGAATTGTAAGGGACTAATTAGCAAAATTATTGGTGCTAGAAAACCTAAGTAAGTGGGCGTGTGGCACCAGAAAACATTCAGGGGAGATTTCCTTGGACACTGGAGAACCGGCACAAAGAGTGCACTGAAGGGTGGTTAGTGTCCAGTGGCTGCACGTTACTTTTTAGCAGGAAGCCTGTGCCCTAGCACACTTGCCTTTGAGGATGGAGTCCTTAGGCCAATGCTCTGCTTTTCTTCTCTTGGCAGGACTCAGCTCCGATATGCCACATTACATCCAGCATCTCCAGGCAACGCTCAGCTCCAGCAACCAACCCCTGGAGCCTTTGGCCCTGGAACCGGTGGCTCAGCATGTGCTTGCTGTTCTCTCTGAGGCCTGGCTCCGCTACCTCCGCTATGAGATAGCCACCTTCTTAGAGTGAGTCCCAAGGACCCTGGCTCCTTGTCTTTGGTTTCCAGGCCTGGGTGAAAAGCACTGGCAGGCAAGGGGGAGAGAAGTGGTTTATAGGGAAATTTGGTTCTTGCTTTGTCCATGGATACGGCTCAGATGGCTTCCTAACTGCACCCAGTGAGGGGCCTTCTTCTTCCTCTCCAGGCAGTTTGGCTCCTTGCAGCCTCAAACAAAATGCCGGCAGTCCTGGATCCAGCCCTTCTACAGAGAGTGCTCCTGCGCCCTCCTCTGGGACACTTCCTGCTGGGAGAAGCTCAGACTGGCGTAATCTAGGAGCTTCCCCATGCCCTACCCTGAAGCCAGTGCCCTACCCCTTCATGTACATGGGCTGCTGCTCCTGCTCCTCTCTCTACTGCCCCTTCTTTGGGGGGAGCCCAGGGCTGGCGTAGCGGGGAACTGCTCCACTCCTGACAGCCCCTCCACCTGGGAGTGGAGTAGCTAAATGAAGGAGTGGCCTGGGTACCGCATTCACGTCCAGCTTTGGGCGGCCGCTTGAGAGAATTCTTTCCAAACCAGCCAGTACATGTTCCAAACATCTCAAACTGCTCCTAAGCAAGACAGCTGTCCTCTTGCCTCATTTGCTCTGTGCCACCCTCTTTCTTGCTGGTCTGGTGTCCCAACCTCTTACTTGGCAGTGCCAGGCATCCGTAGCAAAGACAGTAGAAGAAAGCAGAGGAGAGACAGGTACTTCCCTGCGCAGACAAAGGACATGGTTTCTTAGGATTCAGGCAGGCAAACCTGGATTTGTGAGCGCTGCAAAAGGAACTCAGCTGTCCAGTTGGATATTGGGATTCCCAGAGCTGATGAAACATTTCCACAGTTAAAGTTCCATCCTCTTTAGTCTTGACCCTGCTACCCACGGTCCCCATATATGTAGGGCATGTGTCTAGTTAAGCATGTGTACTCCAGGGAGTATATTTGCACTCTAGAGCCCAGATGCCCAGCGGGGAATGCAGGCTGCTATTTTGATCATGATTGTACGTTTAGATCTTACCTCTCATTTGTGAAAGGAGCCAAACCACTTCACAGAACTCTCATGCTGAGAATCACTGTATCTTCCATTGGCATGCAACTGCGTCTGGGGCAGAATCTGGCAGCTATTTCCCCACCACACCCAAACCCTGCCGAGGGCCTGAAGAACACAGCGTCCCACTGCAGAGGGAAGTTAGGAAGGCAGGACACTATTCCCTGCCCTGAGAATATGGCTAGGACAACACCTCTGTCTCTTGGGATCGACAATGTCCGTAAGAGGTCAGGCTCTGAAAACCATCTCCACCAGCACCATGCGAGGACATACGGAAAGCACAGCCTCTCGCTGCTGATACCCCCGCAAAGCCACCACCACCACTTCTTGGTTTCCCTGTGTGTGGAGGTGGAAGCAAAGGTCTCTCATCTAAGTAGAGCAGGTCTGATGCTATGTAGCTTATGAGATGCAACAAGGTCATAGTCTAATATGCTACGGCTGTATTGAGAACCTGGAGTGTACTGAGAACATGTCTGCATCCTTGCAGGGCCAGGAAGAGGCAGGGAAATACCAGCTTTCATGCCCAGGAAGGCAGCAAGCAGCAGAGGAGGCAGCAGAAGAAAGCAGCCAAGCCCCAGGGCTCAGACAGCGCTGGCGTGGCAAGCAGGGAAGGGTCAGTGACACCACAGTGCCCCCTGGATCTGCTCAACAACAAGGTGGTTTTCAAAGCCTATAAAAAGGCGGCTCAGGAAATGCAGGATGTGGGGCTCCACAGGGTGCTGGAGCTAATGCAGAAGCTGGAGTGCTGCCAGGCAGCCCCAGAGGGCAGGAAGCGGCTGAGCTGCGTGGACCTCTTGGACCTCTGTGGCCAGCAAGGGGATGAGGCACTGAGCCGTGGCCTCCCCAGGGAGCTGAGAAAGAGACTGAGGGCAGAGGTGGGCCGGGGAAGAGTCAGCGACTCAAGCCTGGGAGATATCCAAGCGGCCTTGCTTGCACACATGGCCCCGGCGTTTGAGAGCTTCTGGGCCGAGGTGAGCAATGGGCTGGGCAGGCACGGAGTGCAACCCTTCAAGATCCAAGACAAGCGCTGGCCCAAGCTGGAGCCACTCCTGCATTTGCTGGCTTCCAAGGTGGCCCTCAAGCGACTAAGGAGCAGGAAAGCCGTTGGGGGGTCAGCAGCTACAGCCCAGCCCAGCCGGGAAGACAAGGGCTCCTTCGGCCAATTCCTCAGGGCTGCTGCCGAAGGCTGGCCCACCCTGGAGATGCTGCACTTCCTCAAGCACCTGCAGGTCCACGGCCCCCGTGTGCTGGAGCATGGCCTGCATTTCCAGCTGGAGGTGCAGAAGTTCAAGAACGCCCACCATGCTGTGCCAGACAGGGCTCTCCTGAGGAAGAAGGTGCAGGTGATCCGCAGCTGCTTCCTAGTCTCCCAGCTGGAGCCCCGGCTGCAGGTAGGCCTCGTGTTCTGATGGGAGAAGGGATGGGGCGAGAGACTGTCAGACAGGCCTAGGGCAAGAGAGAGGAGGAGCAGCGTCCAAAGCAGTCACTGTGCTGGTGTTTAACACAGGAGTTCTGCAAAAGAGTGATGAGCTCCCACCGACATCGGACTGGGGGCTCGAGGGCCACATTTAATGCAAGTTCCCAATTGCAGGGATCAACCCCGCTTGAATTCCCAGGCCAACCGAGCTCCAACCCCAACTCAGCTCCCCCACCCCTCGGTCCAGCCTCGGCTTATTTTCTCTGGGAAATGCCCAGCTCAGCAGCACCTGCCGCCTGGTGGCATTGGGATGGAGAAAGCCCAGCCCAGCCCCTGCAGAGTGAGAGGCCAAAGTGGTGTGGAAGCAGCTGTGCTATCTAGCAGATCCCTGCTCCACTATGGGAGGGAAGGAGGGAAGGAGGGAGGGGAAAAGCTTTTTGCCATTGGTGCCATGGAGACTTGCCCCAGGCCTCTGAGCTCATCTGTGCTTGCTCTCTAGGTGCTGGTGGATGCTGAGACGCTGGGGAGAGCTGTCCGGGCAGCAGAGCAGTCCCTCCAGCAGGATGCTCCAGCCCCGCCTCCAGGCCTGTTTGATGAGCTGAGGGACTCAGTCTCCAGCACCCTGCTGCCATACTGGGCTGGGTTCCGGAAGGCCTGGCTGAAGCGGTCACTTGCGAGTGCCCAGAGAGTCCCGGGTACGTTCATCAGCCTGAGGCCCTGGCACACTGCAGAGCCTACCCCTTCGCTAGAGGAACAGACAGGGCATGGATTTGCAGCTGCTCCAGGAGGGCTCCCGCTGAAGGAGCTAGGCAGCCCAGACCCCACATTTCGAGCAAGTGAGGCTGATGGGGAGTGTGCATACACTTACATGCTTACAGTTGCAAGCATAATACTCATGCTAAAGCAATAGAGTGTGCAGGCCTGGCTCCTCTACACCCCACGGCCAGTTGAGGGGCTTGTGGGAGGAGGCCTTCCTCATTCCCTTTTGGGAAAACAGTGGCAGAGCCCAGCCACTCAGCCTGGCTTGAAGGGTACCAAGGTGAACAGCCCTTTTGCTTTATTTCATCCCACTGCTCCCTGCTAGGCCTTCCCACTCTGTGCAACTCGACCCTAAGGCTACGATTTGGTCATGGAATCCACCACTTCCAAAACCCTCTGACTTCACAGCTTGGGAGCTGCAGCAGGGCTTCCCTGCCTCCCCTAACAGGATGTGCAGGTACCCCTGCCACCGAAGGCAGCAGGGTCCCCCCTCTCCAAGCTATTGTAGGCACCATAGTTCCTGGTTATGGGCATCAGGAGGACCCTGGAGCTCCCAGCTGGCCTGCAACTGCCCAGCAGCTATTTTGTCATTGCCTTTCACCCCTAGCAGTTGTAAAATGGTGGTGCTGCACTCAGGGATGAATTCCCCAAGGGACTGTCTTTGATTGCCCTGACAGGATTTTACCACCAGTCCCTGTCTTGTGCAAGCTAAGTGCCTGCTCTACCCAAAGCAGTTCACATCGGCAGGGACGATGCTGCACTGAGAGATTTCTCCTCCAGACCGGCCAAGGACTCGCGGCGCTAGGCTGCCCTTTCAAAACGCTGAGAGGCAGACGTCCTTTGGCAGCACTTAAGCTGCTTCCTTGAGCTGTGGGAAGGAGAACTGTCCCTCCAAGGGCTCCGTGTCAGATCCATTACTCTTTCCTGAGCCCTTTTCATCTAAAAAGCTGTACAGACAACGGAGAGACAAGAATCAGTGCGACTTAAGTGCTGCCAATGCTGGAGTGGGCCACACATGGGGAAGCAAAGTGTCACGTATCCAAATGAAACTGCAGTGGAACTAGGGAGTGGCAGAATAGAATCACCAGAGTGGATTTGGCCACAGCAGCAGGGGGAGACCCTGCCTTGGGGAAAAGTACAAGAGGATCACTCACGCCAAGCAGCCAGCCCTTGGCTTTACAGCTGAGACAGCACCCCTGGCACGTGCTGGGGCATTGGCTCAGTACAGGCTTGTAGGGAAGAGCTCCCTGCCCCCACTGAATCATCCTGAACTTCCTTTTGGGGAAGGCCTTATGTGAATACAGACCACATGGGCTCTTTAGCTGAGGCTGCAAACCAGGTGATTGGGGCCGGGAGGCGAGGGAATTGTCCTGTGGTGGGAGTGGAGAGGAAGATGAGACAGAAGACCCTTTCTTATGACCATCTCTGCTCTGCAGTGCTGAGAGCCCAGCAGCTCCTGCAGCAAAGCCAGGCCCTGTTGGAGCAGCCCCAGGGCCCGCCGCCACCATGCCAGCTGCCTCCTCTGCAGCCGCGCCCCAACGTCAAGGGGAACAAGCAGCAGGACAGTGTCACTTACACCTTCTCCATCAGCAGGGGCATTGCCCTGAAGGTCAGTGGGCAGGTCTGCACAGCCCCTCACAGGAGCAGGGGCAAAGGGACTTAGAACTCAGGCCAGATGTGTTTCATCTGCCCCCAGCTCGGCTGTAAGACACAAGGGCTGAGCCTGGTGGTTCTGCTGGTAGCACCCGAGATGCTTCACCCAGCCACCCACAAGGAGGTGTTTGCCGGAGCTATTCACATAGCAACACCCCAACAAATGGCCCCTTGAGCAGCTGGAGCCTCTCTTTCTACATACCAGCAGCCCTCCGGCACTGCCCAATGCAGCCACTTCTGGGTTGGAACAGCCTAGGGCAGGAAGTGACCTACACAAACCTGATGCCCCCTTCACCCCCAAGTTAGTATAGGGCCTTTCTGCTCCTGTAACCACACAAACCACAACCCCCTTTCTTTACTCAGGCCACCAGCAGAGAAGATACAAGCTCTCATAGCAGCCGTCCTCCTGTGCTTGGAAATGTCAAGAGATCAGCCAGAGTTCAGCTTCCTCCCCGGTCGGAGGTACCGGTGCTGCCGTGAGCAGCACAGAAAGCACTCCAGCCTACAGTGTTCAATGAGGAGCTGTCACACTGGCAACACGGGTGGTAGCTAGAGGTGGCCATTGGACTGCAAACTCAAGCTCTGAGCTGTTGTAATATAGGGAAGGCAAAGGGACACGAGCTAGGAGACCGATCTGGGAACAGGGACCGTGCTGCAGGCTGGCATGGTAAAGCAATGCCCAGGCACCTCTTGGAAGTCCTAGGCCCTGAGAGAAAACCTAGGGCTGTGTCTACATTGGCACCCCTTTCCGGAAAAGGGATGCTAATGAGACCAGTCGGAATTGCAAATTCCGCGGGGGATTTAAATATCCCTTGCGGCATTTGCATTTACATGGCTGCCGCTTTTTTCCGGCTCGGGGTTTTGCCGGAGAAAAGCGCCAGTCTAGACGCGATTTTCTGGAAAATAAGCCCTTTTCCGGAAGATCCCGTATTCCTACTTGAAAGTAGGCCTTCCCACCTTCCTACTTGAAAGCAGGAATAAGGGATCTTCCGGAAAAGGGCTTATTTTCCGGAAAATCGCGTCTAGACTGGCTCTATTCTCCGGCAAAACCCCGAGCTGGAAAAAAGCGGCAGCCATGTGAATGCAAATGCCGCGAGGGATATTTAAATCCCCCGCGGAATTTGCAATTCTGACTGGTCTCATTAGCATCCCTTTTCCGGAAAGGGGTGCCAATGAAGACACAGCCAATAGGTGACGTTTTCCATGGTTACATTAACATGCAGAGGCTGTCTCTTCATTTAAATAAATATTTAAAAACCTTCTTACAGTTTAGCAAATCTATTGATTTCTAATACTTTGTCGGCTCTCTCCCTCCACTAAAAGGCCAAAGGTTCCCACCAAACCCACCCCCCCAGCATTTGCAGCTGCTGCTCAAAGGACCAGGTTTCCATTCATCACTTGACAGCCCTTGGCCCTCCGCAGGAAGAGCCCTCCTGGCATAGCTGGGAGCTGAGATCAAAGTGGCCTAGCTGGGTACTGTTAATGGTTAGGCCTCAAATGGGCGTTTCCTGAGCTGAGCTGTAGCTGGGGGAGAGGAGGGGAGCAGGTCCAGGCTCAGCTTTGAGATAGGGATAGCTGCTTATTTGACATAATGAGGCAACGTATGGAGGGGTGCAGAAGGGTCACATGCTTCCCAAATGCGGGAGGGGAAGGGGCTAGCAGGCAGCTGGGCCAGAGCCTCTCTTCTTGCAGGCCACGCTGCCTGGCTGCTGCACTCTCCCATGCAGCCTCTGGCCGCTCTGCCTGTGACCCTGCTTGCTGCTCTGTGCAGTGCAGCCGGACAGATCCCCTTCCCCCCCAGGTAACGTGGGACGGAGAGAGCATGGGGGCTGGGCTAGAGATAACACAAGAAGAAGTTACCTTGTGGGTGGGAAGGTCACATGACCCCCTTTGGCTGGTGCCTCCTTTATGTCCCTCCCCACCACTCGCCTCTGAGATCCAGCATTCCTATTCAGCCCCTCCCCTCTGTCTCCAGGCTAGAAGTAGCTGGGCCGAACAAGGTGCTTGCTGGGGCTGCCAGATAATTGAAACAAAAATACTGATTTCCCCCCCCCCTCTCC